GTTCCAGTCAGAAGTGAGTTGTGCATATAATTTCCTAGATTTCTTCCAGCTCCTCTGGCATCCCTGCTTTCTCTCCATCCTGATGTATCACACCACTGCTAGGCTTTTTAACTCGTGGGAATCTTGGAGAAGCTCATGAAATTCAGGACCTTGTCCCCTGAAGTATGCCCTTTTACACAGCGTGTGTGCACGTTTCAGAGGTTCATGATCCCCTCGGAAGCAAGTGTTATGAACTGATACCATCCTAATCTGCTCAAAAACCTTCAGCTACTCCCTACTGCCTACCAAATACATTTTAAGAACTCTTGGCTGCCATTCAAAACTTCCTACACTATGTGCACTATCTTTCTTTCCAAGAGCCACTGCCAAAATTCACTGACTGAGCTTACATATGTTGAGCATTTATCCCTTACAAAACACAAAATTATACATTTTATGCATGTATAAAACACATAAATATTAAAATATGAATACATATTTATATTCTAATGTATAGGTACAGAATGTAAATATGTATATATGCAAATACACATATAATATGTAAAATAATATATTAATGTATTTAATAATATCAAAATATTAAACAGAAAACATTACATTAGAAGCAAAAGGATAATAAAAATGTTTAATATACAGGATGCTATAAAAAAGTTTAAAACCTAGAAAGAAAAAATAAAATAAGTAAATAAATAATGGTAACGTAAGTTGAAATGTGGCTAAGGCTGTGGCAGAAAAAGGCTTTTCTATTTCATAGCTTGTTCTCTTTATTCCTTGCTGGCAAAGATTTTGTTCCATTGTATAATTTTCCTCAATGTAGCTGACTTTACTCAGCTCTTTCAAAGGGACACTGCTATGGACATTGATATGTGCATGGTGAAACATGATGTCTGGGACCACAGCAGCCATACTGTGACTGGGGGGAGTTGAGCTGGTGGAGAACACACTGAAAATGGCAGAGCAGAAAGATGAAAGGAACCAAGTCACTGATGGAATGGTGAAATTTCCAACTTGACCAACAGTGACCTGGCTGCCTTCCTGACTTCTTGTTAGTGAAATGAGAAATCTATTTATAACTTTACCAGAGGCCTGAAACACAAAATTTGTGCACAGAGGGGGTGGGGGTATCCCTCAGCCTGGCCTGCACCCTCTCTAATCTTGGACATTCCTCTCACAATCCGGGACCGCTGGCTCCTGCCTCTGCCTGCCTGCCTGATCACCCCTAACCACTTCTGCCTGCTGGCCTGATCACCCCCTAACTGCTCCCCTACCTGCCTGATGTCCCCTAACTGCTCCCCTGCCAGCCTGATTGCCCCTTAATCTCACTCCCTTGTTGGCCTGATTGCCCCTAACTGCTATCCCTTGCTGGCCTGATTGCTCCTAACTGCCTCTGCCTTGGCCCCTGTCACCATGGCTTTGTCCAGAAGATGTCTGACCTAATTAGCATATTACCCTTTATTAATATAGATATATTCTGAGTTGTGTTTTCTGGTACTTGAATTGAAAGCATCCTTACTGGCATAAATTCCTTAAGACAGCCTTGGATTATGGGCTGTAGGAATCAGAGAAAGAACAGATTAGTGGATGAATCAGTTGTTAAACCCTGATTTTATATTATGTCTGTGTGTTTATACATGCATGTATATGTATTATATGTGTATATATGTTTATATTTAAATACTAGAGACCTGGTGCACAAATTCTTGCATGGGTGGGTGGGGTCCAGCTGGTTCTCTCCGATGGGGGCTGATTAGGGCCAGGTTGGCAGGGGGAAGAGGAGGGGTTGTGGAAGATTAGGGGGAGCCAATCAGGGCCCCCATAGGGCTGGTTTGCCACTGTAGTGCGCGTCATAGCAACCAGTTGCTCTGGTGGTTCTGCAGTTTCGGTCACTTGACTTTTATATATATATTTATTTTTATATATTTAATTTTTGCTATTTTGAGGCTCTGCAGCATAGTACAAAAGATATGGGACCTTGAAGTCATTCAACTTCTGCTACTATGCAGCAGTAGTATTTAGGTAGGTCATTTCATTTATATGATCTTCATCTTCCTTTATAAAATAATATGGTCACCCCTACCTCATAGGATCTCATAAGGGTTAAATGAAATGATATATATAAAGTTCTTGCACAGTACCTAAAACATGTGTACTTCCAACATATTATATCTGTTGATATTGTTTCTTTTATGCAGACAAAAATATTTTTGGAGTGCACTGATTACATCACATTAATTACAATAGTAAAAGAAACCCCATATAATTCCTGCTTTTATGGAGGTTATAATTTGACTAATAATGATGCATATAAAGGTATAATTATAAACTGAGTGAGTGCTGTGAAGTGAAGGTATATAGCATCATGAAATTGTAGAATAAGTGAATCTGACCTTGTCTAGGAATTAAGGAGGCTTCACTGTGCAGGTGGCACTTGAGTTGGTGTTGGGGTGTGGTAGGGGAAACATCACTCTAGATTTATAGAAACAAACTCATTGTTACTTGATCTTGTACTGTAAGCTTCTTAAAATCAGAAATCATATTCATATAACTGTATATTTATTTATTTATATCCTTTGTATCCAGCACGGTAACCAGGCTCAACACAATCATAAATATTTTAGAACTAAATAAACGAGGCTCACTGACTCTCACTCTCCTTATTAAAAAAAAAAGGGTATAAAATGTCTATTTCTATGAGATGAGGAATATAAAGCACTTGAACTTGGAGTAAAGATAGATACATAGTATTATTACTATCATTATTGATTTATAATTTCCATATATTATCTCTGCTACTGTAATATAGGTCCCTTTACCTTTGATTATCCCAGAGTTCTTAGCACAGTGTATTGTATAGAATAATCTAAACATTTAGATGATATAGGACATTCTTAATTAGGAATTAAATTGACAGATTAAAGAGACTACGAATGTTTAAAAAATAAATCATCAAAGCTAATTTAATCACTCTCTGTAGGAAATACTTAATGCCAAGTTTCTAGAATAGAGATAAAAATATATCTAAAAGAAAAAAATCCCTAAAAACATAAATACAAGCCTGAATCCTATCTGGAAAAATAATTATAGAAAAATTCATATAGAATATCATACATGTAATTAAAAACTCATTGCACTTATAGCTATCTAATATTTGGCCTTTTCAGTTAATTGATCACTGAATTGATTGATTTTTAAATTACTTGTCTTTCCACACTCAGAGAAGGTTCTTTGCTATATTCATAGTTGCATCTTGCACATAGCTGGTGAACAAATAAATACCTACAGAAGAAAAAACATATACACAAAAATCATACTATATTTTTTATGGAGGTGTATTCACCTTCGCAGAAAGATAAAAGGATATTAAAATTATAAACAGGGATAGTTGGTTTGTGGGGTGTTGAAGGGTCAGGGTTTGGGGGATGGAATTCAGCATAGTGACTAGAGGGGATTTGATTTATATGTGAAATAATTTATTTCTTTTAAAAATATTAATAGATAAGAAGCACAAGATGAAAAAATATTAAATATTCTGGTGGTGAAAAAGTTTAAGTGTTAAGTTATTCTTTGCTTTTTTTCTGTCTTTTAAATTTCTCATAACAAGTCCTGGCGGGTAGATCAGTTGGTTAGAGCATCATCCTGATATGCCAAGATTGTGGGCCCCATCCCTAGTCAGGGCACATACAAGAATCAGCTAATGAACGCATAAATAAGTGAAACAACAAGTTGATGTTTTTCTTTCTCTTTTAAAAAAAACAAAAACAAAAAAAAATCACTTCCACAATTAAAGATAAATAACTTACACTTTTTAAAAAAAATATCTCAAAACAAAAATCAGTTTAAACGTCTGGATGGAGAAGAATGAATTAATCCCTTGTAGTTATACAGGATCTAAAGCTCTCTAATGTGCTATGGGTTACACTTGGTCATCAGAACAATTTTGAAGAAATCATTATCAGCCTTATTTTAATCAGGAGAAAAATGAGACAAAATTTAATGAGTGGGCTGGCCATGACTACCTCTCAAGTCAGGACAATGCTTGTCTGAGGACCAAACCATGATTTTCCTTTCAAGAGGTAATATCAATGTCCTTCAACCATGAGAGCTAGGAAAGCGGTAAGAAGAAATTAGTTTTGAGACCTGTCGTCATGAGACCTAGAGTTAAATGTAAATATGGATGGACGATGAATGAGCAAATATTTGAATAATATACTCCACGTTGCTTAAAATTTTTAAGGCTTATATTCCTCACCTATCAAATAGGTTTTGTGAAGAATGAATAATTTATATGTTTATGACCCAGCAAATATCTGGCACTTAATTAAATGGTCGATATTGGTGTGTTTCCTCTTGTTTTCCTATGTTCCCATATATTATGTGGAACCCTTGGAAATTGCCTTTTTTTGTATGTGAAATGATTGAATATGGGCAATTTCATGAGTTTCATGCTGATATTCTAAGAATGTAAGCTCTGATACCACTATCAGCTATCTCATCTTGAATTCACATGTGAGGGAAATGCAGACCAGAGTTTAAATAAAGCTGATAACAGTTTGGGGCCTGGACTAGAGAGTCGATTTGCAAGGATAGATAAAAGGGATTTGCAAATGTGTGAGGAGGAGAAGGATAGTCCAATTGGCAGAGATAGGTTTACACAATCAGGGTTAGGCAACTGCAAATCAGACAGCTGCTCAATAGCTTTTGGCACCAAAATATATTGACCAGCTGGGATATTATTAAAGTTTAACAGTTCTATTCGCATGACCATATCTTGGTCAATTGGGTTGTCTTCGGCTACCAAAGGGTATAATATATTCCAATGTAAATGCCACATGTGTATCTGTGTAGCACATATTCTCTTATATTGATGAGTTGTAGAATATACACTAAATATAAATGCATTTACTTCTTTAGAACACCAGGACAATGTGAGCAAAGAGGAATAGAACTAAAATATGCATTGATTTCTTTTTTTAAAAAGAAAATCATCATTATTCTGGGAAACACTTTTTTTATGTGCTTACGGAAAACAAAGGCACCCAAATAATTAAAATAATGTCTAAGGTGAGTTTCTAAAGAATGATTATAGAAAAGGAACTATGGCTAGAGAAAGCCAGTTCTGCATACTGCGTACATGTAAAGAAACAAATGCAGGAGAACAAATATAACCACAGAAGACAGTGGTTGAAGGACCTTCACAGAAAGCTGTTTGAAGTGTCCGAAAAAGCCATTGTCACTAGTTTGGAAAGCCATTTCCAAATTGTTTCTAGCTAGATAATCTCCAGATAGTGCCTTCAAATTAGGAACAGACAAAACAAATAAGGACATGATATAAGGCAATCGAATGTCATGACATCTCCCAGAATGCTTGATCCACTATAATTTAATACACTAAAATATTCTGAACATTTTCAGAACTTGCAATTGTGGCATTTGGAGAATAAGATTTTTAATACAAAGTTTTATACAGTAGTAAAAAACAGTCATCCAAACACTGGACCCTTACTATCTAATTCAAAATGCATGTTGATAAAGGATTTCATCTATAGATTATTTCCATTCTAAATCATTTGCCGTTTATTTAATTCTACTTCTACTGGAATTTCTTGGTTACATTCATTGGCATCTCTGGATTGACCTTTAATTCTGGATTTGCCTATTTTTTTCCTTCCCCATAAAATAGGTACTTATTTGGCTACCCATGCCTGTTCCTCATCTCTGTGGAAAGCACTAAAAGTAACATCTCTTCAAAACCAGAGAACTTTATATGGGGAGTAGCAAAAATTAGGAGGCAACCAAACAAGTTACTCCTTAAATCTGTGGAACTCCTGAATCATCCAATAGAAGTCAAATAAACTACTGCCTGAAATGCAAAGGCAGCTAGATATATGAGGAATCCTTCTGCAAATGTTAGGTCTATATATGCTTGCTAGTGCTTTCACAAGCTATTCAAGAAGCCTAGTTTTATGGTCTAGTTTCTTTCTTTTCCTTTTTCAGAGGGAGGGATTTTACCAAAACTTAGATCATTATTGAAACATTAATAGTGAAAAGGACTTTAGAATCATCTAGTTCAAGCTCCTTGTTTATAGATGAACAGCTCCGGGTGGAGAAAGCTTCCACAACTTAACATTCAATGGCTAGTAAACAGCCGAGTCAAAACTAGATGCCGTTTGTGCACTGATAACTAGAAGAATACCATTTCCTCCAAACTGTTCTTAAACCATCTTTCCGTTAAAAGATTATGTACCTGCTGAATATTATCCAGTCTGAATAATCAGCAACTTTGCTATGGTGGTTTTGCTTTTCCAGGTAATAGTGGGATAGCTTTTTTAAGTTGAAAACTCTGGGATGAAGGGCTCTGGGGCATGGAGGTCTGCCTGGGAGGCTGCCTGGAGGAGGTATCCGTGCTCATGGTGCTCCTCCTTCACCTTGCATTGGCACTCCTCCACCAGCATCACCACCTTGACCACGGGGGCGAGGCCTGAGCAGTTCAGCGGCAAGTGCATCCTGGTGAACCTGGTGGGCGCGCAGTGGTAGCAGGAGGCATGGGGGTGCTGTGCAGCTTCAGGAAAACGAGTAGACCCGCACTTCCCGAAGCAAAGGTTGTTCTGCACAACCACCTGCTCACAGTCTTCATGGGTGATGGTCTAAAAGGCAAACACATCTCTATGAAATCATCTTGTGTCATTCCATTAGCACACATGATGCAGGCACTATAGACTGTCAAGTCTGAGGATAAGCTAGACCAGTGGTCAGCAAACTGTGGCTCATGAGCCACATGGGGTTCTTTGGCCCCTTGAGTGTGGCTCTTCCACAAAATACCACGTGCGGGCGCGCACATACAGTGTTATTGAAACTTCGTGGACCATGCGCAAAAATCGGTTTTTGGCTCTCAAAAGAAATTTCAACCGTTGTACTGTTGATATTTGGCTCTGTTGACTAATGAGTTTGCCGACCACTGAGCTAGACTAAAATTTCAAAATCTTTCTAATTTTGGATGTTTGCCAATATCCAAGTAATGTTATCTAGAATGCAAAAAGCCACCTCAACTAAATATTTATTCCACTGAGTAATATAATAAATTAGCCTGTAAGAAATCCCTAAGTTGATAGGAAAATATGTTACTCTATTTTTAAAAAGCCAAACTTTAAGAAATTCTGTCTAATTGGATGTTACCAGTAAAAAATATTCTAGCAGCTGGCTTCTTATGTAAGTGATGTGCCTTACCTTTCTATTCCTCACCAAGCATTGTGCATAATAGTTTCTCAGTACATGTTGTTCAATTGCTTATAGAACAGATCAGCATATCATGAATTTAATTCTATCCCATTCTGCAGCACATAGACTTCATTCAAGTCTATGAAGTTGCAACACATATGGTCGCAAATCATCAGGCATGACATCACATTTGCCTCCCTCGGAACCCCAGACCCCCCACTTTATGTGGTCTTCGAGATATGCAAGAGTCAAACACCTTAATTTGAATTTAATCAGCAATAGAATTTAAAATAAAAGTTTCACAGGAAATTTGATTACAGTATTCTTAGGAGCAGTTTCCTAATTGCACATGACCAACAAAGCAGTCATTATTATTTGAGTTTCCTTGCTATTGCTACATACCCTGGCCTTTTTAGGCAGAATACTTAACTGCCTTGCACGCCAAATTACCTTATAGTACTGCCTGCTTAATTAGGCAGCGTCATTGTGCTGTAAAACTTTACCCTGCATAGCTTTGGGTTCAGTATCTTTTTAAACATAAAGGACCTGATGTAATTTCTCAATTGAAATTTAACATTTGGAGTATGAGGGTTGTCAGGACTGACTGGAGGAAGTAGAAAGTAGAAAGCCCCTTTGTCTTATAGTGTGGAACCAATCAATCATGATAATTACAAATCAACCGACACAACATCAATGAGGAGATGGGTGTTGCTAAGGAGAGAAAATGTGATTTCACATTGAGATTTCACTTATAAGAAAATAAGTGAAGTTAAATCATTTTTGCTACGGTAATACTAGAAATGTTAGGGAAACTTACACCTAACAGCCTCAGCATATCTTATAGACCTACGACGTAGTTACATGTGAAATACAGGGATTAAGACTATCATATGGGCATGAGAGTGTTCGATTAGGAGTCCAATGTATTTCACCTTATCCACAGATGGAGTTGACCTGACCACCCACATTCTAATAGAATGTAGAGATATAACTAGAGAGAGTTCTGGTGATAGCTCTATAATATAGAGTCTATATAGCTCTATAATATAGAGTCTATATTCTCAGTTTCCCGAGGTGCAGTCTTATCTCTCTGGGAAGACCATCCCCTTGTAAAAATAAAGAAATAAAACGACACAAAACAACATTCTATGCCATCGATATGAATGATTCCTAATATTGGCAGGACAATTGAACATTCCTGCAGCATCTGCAGAATACCAAGAAACAATGGAAGGTTTTGAAGGAAATTTAGGGAATAGGACCATACCTTGCCAAATCCTAGGATATATGCCCAAGGGCCAAGTCTAGGAGTTAGGTAAGACTAACTCCTCTTTCCCTCCTCCCCATCTGCCCCAACGGTCCACCCCGTTCCTATGCACCCTGATCCTCTTTCCCCGGAGCAGATACCTGACTGAAAGGCAGGGTCCTACAGGTCTCCTGGTGTACCTCATGGCTCTTGATGGGCAAGATGACCCCCTGAGAAGCCGGACTCATTCTGAACATGAAGCGGTGCCAGAATTTCTTGGCTTCTTCCTGAAGAGGAGACTTCTTTATCTGCATCCGATCCTTGGGCTGAGGAAGGGCCTGGGTCCCAGGTGGACTATGCTCACTGATGGGGTCTTGCGTTGGGTGGAGTTCTCTCTCAGGCTTCTTCCAGAACCTGCCAAACCTGGATAGCATCTTCTCTCTCTGCCACTGACCTTCCCCCGAAATGCTGGCACCTACCAGGTGTGGCAGGGCTACGAACAGATCTGGCTTCTCCTCGGCCTCCCCGTGGTTGCCCAGGGGAAGCTCTCTGGGATTTCTCTCTAGCAGGAGCACAGGGGGAACAGAACCCTGACTCTGGCCGCCATCCTGGGGCCACGCAGCCTTCCCCAGTGGCAGGAGCACCAGCAGCTGAAGAAAGAGGAGATGCATAGTGTCGGGGCCCAGCTTCTTTCAGATTCACAGATGGCAAGGCCCAAAGGAAAGGCTCCCTCCCCTGGGACTGTGAACTAGGAGATGAGATCCCATATATAGATACTTGCCTCATGGGATGGGAAGGCAGGTGGTCAGTAGCCAGGCAGTGTAAACACATTTGTTTGCTTGAATTATGTAGTGCTAATGGTGTCCTGACTTCACTTGGGTTTTGTGTATTTAAGAAGGCCCCAGGGAAAGGCCGGGACCCAGGGGGTCATTAGCTGACACTTTAACGTCTGAGATTGGAAGAGCAAGTATTAGTGAAAACAACACATTCTCTGCCTGGACTTCCCACCACGGTTATTAGAAGCATCAGACTCAGCTAACATTTGCAGTGCATCTGCTTTGTGCTGGGATAAAATAGACCAGATGTGTGTTTGTGGGAAGGGAAAGGAAGAAATAGGAAGATGTTAACTTTATTGAGCAGAGGACTCTCCCTCATACTCAGACTTGGTTGCGATTGTTGATTTTGTGTGGTGGCAGAGCAAAGGGAAACTCACAATCTCCAAGCTATTCCCCTCACTTGAAGAATCAAACCCTAGGTGCTAAATTCACAGCTGGTCAGATAAACTCATTCAATTGTTGACAAATTTCTCAACAAGATCCTAAGTAATAGACTGACGCCCATCAGTCTTCACTGGGGATGGAGAAGTGTCTCCCATTTATTTGTGTGTTTTTTTTCTTTTTCTAAACAAAGAGCCAGACTTGTAAACGTGGATTCTAAGAACCAGGTTTGATAGCTTTGGGCATGAAGCTGGCTGGTCAGTTCTTTACATTATAGAATCCACATCGTCTTCCTTCTTCTATGACTAGGATAAATAAATAAAGATTTGCCAGGTGACTACCATTCAAAAACATTGTAAATCAGGCCAGGATATGAGAAACCTATCCACAAAACTGAAACCCCAGAATTGAGTCTAATCGACCCTCCACGCCATTTGAACAGTATTTCCATGGGGAATCGATACAATACTTGCTTATATTTCTGCCCTTTTAGTTTAATCACCATATTCCTTATTTTCAGTAACACATACTGGATCATGCTCCCTACCACATTTTTTATTACTGATTTTCTTTTTAAGAAGACTTAACCAGCCCAGCCAGTGTTGCTCAGTAGTAGAGCATTAACCCATGAACCAAGAGGTCACCAGTTCAATTCCCGGTCAGGGCACACACCGGGGTTGCAGGCCTGATCCCCAGTGGAGGGCATATTGGAGGCAGCTGAATGATGTTTCTGTCTCTCTATGCCTCTTCCTTCTTCTCTCTATAAATCCATAAAAACATATTTAAAATAAAACAATAAAAAAAACTTAATCCCATTGGACTCTTTTTCAGACACGTGTTCTTTTTAATAGTCGTGCCCCATTCTGTGAGATAAAGCCTGCAATGATAAGCTATTTTTAAATGGAGCATCATTTTCCCAGAATTCTATCAGATGAGATATACAGGATATGCAAAAGTATGTTTACAGTTGTTCATATAGAAAAAATATAGTAAGTAATAACTATTAATACAAGAATAAACTCTGTTTTGAGTACTCACAACTGTAAACCTACTTTTGCCCCACCCTGTATTTTACTTGTACCAAATACCACAAGACCTGTGCGAGTGGTACAGTTGATCCAACTAAACGAGCATTAGCATTTGCCAATCCTTTCAAGTATTTTTCTCATTTGATTCTGAATTCTCCTCAGTAGTCAATGCAATAGACTTCCCAGAGCTGGCCACTCTTCCCTGATTATAAATAAGCATGGAAGCCAACTACGATAGGTTTCTTGATTCTTTCTAAACTTTACACTAGTGCCTGCAGTTTCATTGCCATCAGTCACAGCATCTAACATTTCTCCAAAATGAAGACTGTCCCAGAGATCCCACTTGGGGCCTCAGGTGACTTGGCTCTGAACATAGGATATAATGAAGGTAATTCTGTTGAATTAAAATTTGTAGGAGACTCAGTTTGTTAGATACTAGAAGATGACAGCAAATGATAAACACTTGGTTCTTGCCCTCAAGCAAGTTGTAGAGGCTTGCCATACATTTTGTAACTTTATTAGCTGTAAGAACGTTAGTTATTCACTTTTAATTTTCTTTTGTCCTAACCTCCCTTCTTCTGATATTAATTTTGGTTGTTTACAAATGCCATTTTAAAAGGACTCATGGAGAATTCCCTTTTGCTAACCTGTCATTCCTGTTGGGAAAATGTGCAAATATCCCAGTGGGCTAATCTAGCCAAAGAAGGCAGCTGTGATGAGAACTATGGCGCATAAGTCTGTCCTCATCCCTGTCTTTCACAGGTAAAGGCACAGAGCATTCACCTTTCCCCATCTTTCATTCATTCGAACACTAAGCATGTGATGATCCATTGCAGCTTACTCTTAAGAGCAGAAACATGCTGCAACTTTCGGCAAAAACAGCTGCTTCTGTGGGTCCTCAGAGACGCAGGTTATCTGATCGCCTCCCGATTTGGATGAAGCCAAATGGAGGTAGGTCTGGAGGGGGCCTCCAGACCCAGCAGGAAGCTGCTATGTGGAAAGAGCACACAAATTGTTGGTGTGCTTAGTACCAAATGCCACAAAAAGGCAGGCCTGAACTCCCAGGTGCCCACGCCTGCTCTGTCCACTTCTTGGGAGAACTGCCTGCTGTGTGAGAGTCGGTGGGGCCAGTCTCACAATCCATTCATTCATTCATTTCAATTAACAGCTCATGCTCAGCATGATCTGAACTCTCTGATTTCAACTTGACCTGGTTTTCCCAAGCACTGAAATGTCTTCAGGACCTAGTTGAGGGGACAGTAACAAGCCACCTTTTCTGTCCCTCTTACAGACTCTCAGAAGGGAGCGAAAATGTGGTCTAGCGCTCTCTGAGGAAAATCAGAGAGGCCACGTTCTTTCCTGAAAACCCCAGACCTAAATCAACAAAAGGTGAGAGGCAGTGTTAGGGAAGAAGGTGGGCATGGGAGTTAAACTGTGAGACAGAAAAGGGAAGTTGGGTTGATGGGTTTGTGAAAGAAGTCGGCTTAGGGTGCATGCCATTGCCTCATAACTACCTCTCTTTTCAAAATATAGGACAGCAATAGTGTTGACAGACTTTAGATTATTTAAAAAGAGCCCAAAAGAAGGCAGACTCTTTTCCTTTACAAACAACAAAAGAGGGCAGATTAGAATAAGTGGTTTCTTCTTGAACCTTTTGTCATGATTTAGTTTACTAAATTATTAAAATCATAGACCACTCCCCCATGCACTGCCCTCCCTGCCACTTGCTATGGAAAGAACACAGCAGAAAGAGCTCATTCCCAAAGCTGCTCCTCTCATAGGACTCGTCGATGGATTCATTCATTCACACAGCATACATCTATCTGAGTGCCAACTCTGTGCCCGGTCCCGGGATAAAATGGTGAAGCGATCCTTGTCTAGGCCTGGTGGATTTGCAATGAACTGGGGAGAGACTAGTGTGTGTGTGTGTGTTTTTGTGTGTGTGTGTGTGTGTGTGTGTGTGTGTTTTCAAAATAAGTTCCACAAGGAACAGCGAGGCAGACACCATTCCTGTACTAAGTAGGGATGCTCAGATCCATGTCCCAAAGGCACAGTGAACTGTTCTACTGTTTCTGCTCATTTTATTCACAAGATATTTGTTAAGTTTAAGGATGGGCAGTAGATATGCAATCATTTCCTTTCATGTTCGATTAAGTATTAAATATATGTAGTAACAAAATTCAAATGATATAAAGTATACAATGAAAGGGAACTCTTCCTCTGACCTCCCAGGCTTCCCATCCTGCCATGGAGCCAACCATTGTTATCAACTTCTTCATACGGAATATTTTGAAGTTTTCAACTGTCCTAGGCTGAAATATGTCTTCCCAAACTTCATATGTTGAAATCTTAACCCCCTAGTGCCTCAGAATATGACCGTCCTTGAAGACAGGGCCTTTAAAGAGGTAATTAGGTTAAAATGAGGTCAGTAGGGTGGACACTATTCCAATAATAATGGTGTCCTCATAAGACATAAATGGTGTCTTAAAGGGAGATTAAGACAAAGACAGAGGGAAGACCATGTGAAGATACAGAGAGAAGGTGGCTGTCTCCAAGTCAAGGAGAGAGCCCTCAGAGAGAAATTACCTTACTAACTCCTTGATCTTGGGATTTCCTGTTCCAGAACTGTGTGAAAGTGAATTTCTGCTATTTAAGCCACCAGGTCTGTGGTACTTTGGTATGGCAGCCCCAGCAAACTAATTACATCACACTAAGAGAACAAACTGTATAGCCAATGGAAAATAACTAATACCACGTGGTATAGTATGTCCCAAATATCCCCCACTTCCCCTTTTAGGCACCGAGTTACCTTTTAACATCTGATAATTCTGTGTGCAGATTCAGTCATCCTAGTGATCTCTGTCCAAAACTGAATTCGTGTCCCTAAACATTGCCCCTTACACTGCCTTCCTCATCTGGCCCCTTGCCTTTCTTTTTACCCCTAGTCCAACTACTGCTCTGCACAACTTCAGTGACTACCTGTCCTGTGGAAGAACATTTATTTTTTTGCAATTGGAAATGTCTCTATTACCACATACAAGTCATAGACTACACCTAAATGTGACTCATCAGCTCCTTAACAAGACTGCAGAGGGGGCTCCTATAAAGCTGAACAGCAGGTCATGGCAGTTGAGATGGCTTCACCCTGTGTCCTACCGTCCCACTGTCCATCCATCCCCCACCGCCCACTGCCCAGGAGGCTTTCCCTGATGCTTGACCACTGTATGCTCCTTCTTCTCCATACTTAACATTCACTCTGATCATTTTTCATTCTGCAGAAAGCTGCTCTGAGAGAGAGTAATGTTTAAGTAACTCTGAACTTGAAGCCAGAAAAACTTTTATCTCATTCTGGCTCTGCTTCACAGTGTGTAAGCTACATGATCTCAGGTATTCGACTTCGTGTCCCTAAACATTGCCCGGGGTAATAACACCCACTCTGCCTTCCTCATCTGGCCCCTTGCCTTTCTTTTCACACAGAGTCCAACTACTACTCGCACGACTTCAGTGACCACCTGGATGGGTCTGATCCATGACTTACCATCGGTATTAGATGATGTCACGTCCAATACCCTGGCCAAAATGTGATGACTCCTACTCCAACTGGGCTCCCCATCCCCGTTTCATTTTGGCCCTGGTTATTGCTGGGAATTACTCCACCTCTAAACTGTGGCTTCCAAGTCCCAGTCTCTTGTACCAGATTGTTGTTTCAGTGCTCTCCCACACTATTCCCATAGCATCTGTTTTTTGCTTCTTCCTTACAATAGTACTACAATAGTACTAATGATTTGTAGTTAAATCATTATTGGTGTGAACGTTTGTCTAACATCTGTCTCCACTTTGGATGTAAAGTCTATGAAGGTAGGAGCTATGTCTTTCTTAGTCACCATTTCAGGCCCTAGTAGCAGATGCGTCAAAACATTGCTTTAAAAATAATGTAGGAATGAAATTTATAAGTTCTCTGCTTCACTTCCTTCACTATCCAGGTTGTATTCATGGCCATTTCTTTAAACCTTTGTAATATTCCTAACTTTCTTGCCCCCTTTTCCTTCTCTGGTATGTGTCCAGTAAAATTCCAGCCCTAGAGACACCCAGCTGTCCACCTTCCTGGGGTCACACCTGGGCTGTAGAATGCTGGCAGAAAGGATAACAAAATGGCAAAAATTTATTCTACATAAATTAACTATCTTCAGTCTTCACCGAACCTTTAATTCTTCCCAGCAATCTTTCTCATTGCTCTAGTCAACTCTCTCATTTTCCATGTAGATAATTTAAAAGCTTCTCTATTATTGCAAACGATTGACTGCTCTGCCTCTCTACTAATTTTAAGCAAATGATCTCGCCCCTTCATGCTCAGAGGAAGATAGGAGCCATCAGATGGGACAGTTTCCTCCCATTTGACTATCAACCATACCAACTGATTTCTCCTTTCCACTCTGCTCTTGGCATTCCATCCTGCCCAGCCTACTTTATCGAATAGTCTCCCCATTTATTGTCAAACCTCGTCCACTCCACTGGCTGCCTCC